ATATATATAAAGTATATCATTGTATATTCAAAAGTTGTCAGCTATACTTTAGTCCCACTACATGCAAGGTCATGAAAACGAAGAATGTATTCACCCCTGCTTGTAGTTGACTTGGAAATAGGCAGCTCTTGACCAACAATGATTTGTACAACCACTGTTCAATACCACCATAATCACGACATTGATATACGAGCATGGCTGTGTTCATTGCTCCAGCTATTGTATACTCTGTACAAAGTCTATTCTTAATGCCAGCTAAGAGATTGTTTTACATTTCATCAAACATCATAGATATGCGCACGATGCGGCTACAGAAACATGCAGACCTGCTCCCTTGTGGCAAAGAAAAAAATGCGTGCGTACACATACTTACATGTATTGGAACATTAGCAATGTCGAAAGATTCCATAGAGAAGGACAAGTTATAGCCTAAAATATAGTGTACCCTCTCCTGCCAGGTAACATTCCATTATAGTAAGCTGACGGTGCGAAACGTGTCCGTTACTTTGTAATTGCATAAAATAATACATATGCTTTTATGTAAATATGTATTAAAAGTGAAATATTAATGAGCGATATGATTCTATACACTCACTGTGACCAACAATTTAGAGGGTTGTCTTATCAGCAATCATGCGGATGGGGGTCTAAACTCGCGCAGACACTCACGTATGTACTCTATAAGTGCACATATAAACGAATGCCTTGTTCTAGATGCCAGATGTGAGCCTAACATACCCGTCACAAGGATGCATAGTCAGTTTAAGAACACACGCATAGCCTGGCAATTCGGTATCGTGCACCACCGACAGATGTTCGCGCTCACACAAGGTCTTGTCTTCTTCAACACACTTACGCCCAAATCTCGATCTGATAGCCTCATAGGCACACTTGCCCTCAGTAAACGATACAGTACAATCCATGCCTGGTGTCAACTGGTTATCGAAGCGAAACTGGCAAAGAAACAATCGTATATGTGTTTATGTACATTTTATTATCGCCATGAAAAGATAACGGGCACCAAGTTTTTATTATTTTTTGGTCGCTTCATCCATATTATAAATAGTCAATTTCATAGCATCCAATATGCACTGATTGTTCGTCTACATCATTCGACTCTTTAAATCACAGGTAAAACTCCTACAGGAAGCAAAGGTCTGCCTCGGTCGGAGCGTCCTGACGAATACCCTCATGCTGAGATTTACGTAGATAATAGAAGTCGGAAAGTCCAACACATATAGAACGCCCGGAAATTCTAACACGAACATAAAATCTCATCTCACAGCCAGATATACGAGGTAGAAGACGATACACGCCATTATAGTCATCATTGGACTACTGCCCGTCCCTTTCACTGGATTTTTACAGCGACATCTCTCAGCCTCCGGTATCTTTGACATCACAGATTGGACATGGTTTCCACATCCGTCCCAAGTTTTGAGATTGCAAGTTTGACAGGTAGTTTCCCAACACATCGCTTTGTATTTATGTATTGTATTTTAAACGTGTTTCAGGTGCTACACGAGTCTTTACTATGTTTGGGTGTAGTACTGCCATTGCAATGGATTTAAATAACAGCTGGTCTGCACTCTGCACTGGCTGCGTCTGCACTCTGCACGTAAAAATACACAAACAAAATTGAAAAGGACGGTCTTCGGTCTTCGAACGTACATAATAGTTCGATCGCATGTATCTTTTTCTTTTCTTCGTCATGTGAAAAGGGGTCGATGGGACAAGCAAACTGAAATACCATTGGGGGACTGGCTTATTAAACCACAGTAATTTAAAAATGATTGGTGCTAAATATTGAAATGACCAATGGCTAGTTTTAAAGATATCATGATGTGATTGGCATTTCAACGCGGCAAGTAGCCGGTGGGGGGCTGGCGGCAGCACTGCAGCACTGCAGCAGTGCAGCACAACCTGTGGCCGACTGGATGGATGTGGGCGGCTGTGTGTGGCTGTGGAGTGTGGAGTGTGGAGTGTGTACTGTGTAGTGAGGAGTGTGGAGTGTGAACTGTGGAGTCTGGGCTCCAGGGGGCTCAGGCTGTCGTCCTTTCAATTTAGAAGGCTATGGGCCTGTGTGATGCGTCTTGTCGGCCAAGCCGCTTTACAAGATCTGTACACGCACACACTGCACGATCAGCAGAGCAGTGCGTACTGATGCACACTACACTAAATATACTTATATTTATCGTCTGCCCGATTGACTGGTTACAACATACGAACAACAAACGGTTTATAATTAAACAATAGCATCAAGATTAGACAAAACAGTTCACAATAGACGATTTTCCTTTAGCTTCTCGTAATAGTACTATTTGGTGACGAGGAATACAGCGATTCATGAAATGGCCATTTGCAACTGTTTTCTACAAACTTGATGCATTTTTAAATGTAGGCCTCAAGTCATATAAATTCATGGAGCGCGGGGGGGGGGGGGAATGGTTGGATACCTGTTATGTCAAGGTCTAAGTTGTTGAATCTGCAATTTGTAGTTGTGTATTTGGAGGTTTATTGTCTAAGTACTTCGATCGGGACAGGCCCTCGTATAATTGAAGGAGCCGAAATTTTAGACAGAATAAAGTGTACTGCACTTTATTGAGATTTTGGTTCCCTCACTATGATGCGGATATAACTTTAAAATTGCAAGTCGCAAAGCCTTCGACATTTCGGCAGCCGGAATCTGCATAGCTGTTCGGATATGATTCGTACATCTATACCACCTTTCAAGGTTGAAGTTGTATCGCAAAAACATTGATGTAGCTTTAGCCTTCAGGTGTCGTTGAATATTGCCGGCTTTTAAGAATGAATAGCTATAACGTGTCCTTACAGCACGTGTGCGCCGGCTTCTAAAATTGAATAGCTATAAAGTGTCCTTACAGCACGTGTGCGCTATATCGTTATAGATGCAATCAACGTACATTGCATGCACATGCGCACACGATAGTGTTTATATATGTCATTTTTTTCTAATGTGATGTTAGTGGCCTATAGTGAGACAGTCTGACGATACGATATATAGTTGTATGGATGTAACTGTGAAGGAACTACCCATACATCGCTCCTGTAGGCTGTAATATCGGGTATTGCTAGCTGCATACATAGTGACAGACTACAGTGTAGAAGTGGTCTAATATCTAAAAATGCTAAATATGACCCTGTGGCCTATGCACGGGCCTGTGAGGCTGTGTACTGTGTGGTGATACTGATGTGTAGTTAAATAGCTGTGTGCCGTGTGGTGAGACTCTGAAAGTATAATATAAATAGTTATATTTCTTTTAGTCAATATACATAGCCTACTAAATAGAACACAATATATCACAGTATGTATGCGGTACATTGCCTCCTAAAATCTAAAAATAGACATTTTATGTTCCTCTATATTTGTTTGTTTTGTTTTGTTTTTGTATTTTTTTTGTTTTAGAAAACAAACCAAAACAAAACCAACCAAAAACAAGATAAAATATATATAAAATATAATACCCATGGTGATCAGGTGACGGATATGTTCAATTTACTTGAAGAAGGCTAAGGGCATTGCCTCCTCATGAGTAATTGAGAAGGCTATGCTATGGGATAATATGGATGTTTCTATTTTGAATTTTTTGGTTTTTCTCTATTTTTAAGTTTTTGCCATATATAGAAGCCTTCTGAATATATATATATTTTTTCATTTTACAAAAACTTGCTTGACGACAAATGGGATAAAAACGATTAGATAGATCGATTTTATCGGACAGGTTTCATTCATTCACTGTTCCATAACATTACTCTTTTCGACTCATATTTTATTTTAAAACAATATATATCCAT